TTTAACTGGATTACCGGCCTCTTCCGGGCAGACGTCTGCAAAGTTTGTGTCAATATGTCGGCTAGACTAATGCTAGATATGGTGCTAGGTATAGACAAGGTCCTGCGCTGCTCGGAACCAGGCTCTTCCCGCGACCTTCACCAGATCGTCGGTCCACCTAGTAGGAGGCCTGCCCACGCTACGTCTTCCAGCCCGTGGTCGCCACTCGAGAACTTTTCTGCCCTAACTGCCATCGTCTCTACGAGCTATGTGGACCGTTCATTGTGGAAAACCTTGGAGGAGGCCTTTGTCCAGCAGTGGACGTCATTCGGCTGAAACGAACCAACGAACGATAAACCAATCTTTTTTACTGTGACGTACTGACGTCCTTGGGAATTTGCGGCTTTGTTGGATGGCTGCTAATGAGAAGGATAGGTCTTTTCTGACCATAGCTTCTCAAGTTTAGAATTTTTTTTTTTTTTTTTATTTTTTTTTTTATGCATAACAAGGCAGGTATTTGACCACAATCATCTTACTACATTTCGATCGCCTCACGAAGCCCTTGGGATAGCGCTGCGACGGACGACGCCAGTTCGTTAGTTTGTCCGTTTCCACTTAAAGACGTNATTATTTATTATTATTTATGTGGGCCCTGAAAATATTGTTCAGATATTTTTATTTCTATATTTGATTGTATTTTTATTTTACTTTTTGTACAGTCACCAGCAACTGGTATATTTGTGTGAAAAAGTAATCTCGACATGCGGTCGCGTGTCCAGCCAAGTTCAAGTATAACAGAACTGGCGAGCAGCACCGTGTGTAATATTACACGAACAATTTGGAGCCACTTTTGATTTACATAAGATCTATGTAGAATGTTTAATTTGTTGCGTATAATCGTGCTAATTCAGCAATTTTTACATGAGAAATAAATACTTTGCTAGCCATTTAATTACTCTAACCTAAGTAGACTTCAATGTTTACCGAACGAGCGGCGAATGTTTTGCGAACAAACGAGCAATGTTTGATTCGTGAGCAAACATCTATGATCTGCAATTTTGAGCTCCAATAACTTCCAACTGAACGATTTATCACAGGTCGGAAGACGTAGCGTGTGCAGGCCCCACTAGGTGGACCGACGATCTGGTGAAGGTCGCGGTAAGAAACTGGATGCGGGTAGCGCAACTCCGGTCGTTATGGGAATCTTTAGGAGAGACCTTTGTCCAGCAGAGGACGTCATTTGACTGAAACGAAACGGTCTATCATTGTGAATGCCCAAAAAGGTTACTTAACAAAGAAAATGCTATGCGCAACATCTTTTTAATTACATTATTTAGTAAACCATATTTTTGTCGAAGAATATTTTTACATTTATTTTACGGATCATTGTTTAAATTACATAATGTTTTAGCTTCCCTTCAGTAGGATATTTAAATCCATAATGGTTGTCACTCGAGAAGGTATGTAGAAATGTTTAATGTTGGATAGTCATAATTGGCCTACAAAATCTACTAAAAAACATTGTTATTACAGATTGATATTGTGCTGTGTACTATCCTTAAATAAATAAATAAGTAAATAAATTTAATTTGAATTATAGCCACACATAAACAAAATATAATGACATATAAAACAAATAGTATTAAGTACTAACGTATCCTACTCTCCCCAAATTGAACCCCACCCTACCCTCTACAACGTGCCTAACGTAGCGAATTCGATTACCATCACATACACATTGTCTGTTTGTCCCTTAATGGACTGTACGCATTGTCACCATACCAGGATAACCAGACCTCCTTTACCGTACTTTTGGTTCCCTTACAGAGCTCAACGTAACTGGTCTCATTGACAATGGGTACGACCAGTTTATTCAGAGCTGTAGTTGCATATTAGGGCTATGGTATGAGAGGTCAGGGAAATAAATGGTAACCAGTGACAAAAGAACTTTTAAATAGAAGTAAAAGTTAGAATCGAGGGGCCAAGCTAATTGTAACAAAGATGTTATGATTGGATGACTTTTTAAAGGCATTAATCGCTTTTAACTGATAAGATTGCTTTGAGATATGATTCAATTTGGAGTCGCTGATTTTTTTGAGTGATTCAATGCCCGTATTCGCCGTTACCTCTTAGGTAAGGGGTATATACGGGTCTTACTCTTAAAATGTTTGAGTAATCTTTAATATTATTTTGTGGAAGGTAGTTTTATCTGTACTATGAATGCTTACGCATCGTCTTATCTGAATCCGTCAAAACAGGGTTTTAGAAAACTCTAACCCCTTTATTAATAAAAACCCCTTTATTAATAAAAAGTTACACCTAGGATGAACTCGAGATTAAAATGACATTTCCATACTAAATGTCAATTTTCAACTAGGGTGTAACTGTGTAACTTTTATAATAAGAGGGCTAGAGAATTTAGATGAAATTAATTACAACGACCACCGGACCGTGTTTTCACCAAGGGAACAACATAAATAATTTCACATACATCATTAAATTATAAGAAAGCTAGAATCTAAAAGATCTACCTATTGAAAAGGTAACTGTTTGACGCTGAATAGCTGAATTAAGATGAAGGTAATCTGTAAAGACAGTTGAAGACCCACTGCAAAAAAAATGAATGGTTTTTACTCTGGTTTTAAAAAGGAACATGCGTGATATCTTTCTGTGATATACCGAAACTTACGCGTACGAAGCCGCCGGCAACAGCTAGTGTAATATAAATTGAGTGATCACGCGAGTAATCAAATCGACCGGCCATTTTGTGTGTAATTTCAATCTGCAGTCCTGCAGGGCAGTTTAACTGGATTACCGGCCTCTTCCGGGCAGACGTCTGCAAAGTTTGTGTCAATATGTGGGCTAGACTAAATCTATAGTAGGTATAGACCAGGGCTTTAAAAAGTTTTTTTTCTATGATGTACTGACCAGGGATGTTATGGATATCCGTAACCGTAACCGAAACTTTCGGATACCCGAAATAAAAAATATCCGTAACCGTAACCGATATAATATTTTTCCTATATCCGTAACCGTATCCATAACCGAAACTACAAATCCATAACATACACCTAGTACTGACGTCCTTGGGAATTTGCGGTTTTGTTGAATGGCTGCTAATAAGAAGGATGTGTCTTTTCTGAGCATAGCTTCTCAAGTTTAGAAATTGCCACTATCATCTTACTACATTTCGATCGCCTCACGACGCCCTTGGGATAGCGCCGCGACGGACGACGCCGACGGTCTATCTGGGAACCCCTGGTATACTTGTAGACAGTTCGTTAGTTTGTCCGCTTCCACTTAAAGACGTTCTCTGCTGGTCAAAGGCCCCAAGTTACTACAACAACCGGAATAACAGCTTCTAGAGCGACCTACGACAGATCGCAGTTCTATCGGTAAGAAACAGTTAGAGGTAGAGACAGTTTGTTCATTAATTTCAACTAAATGTCCACTGTTGGACAGGCCAGGTCTAGGCGCTTTCCACAACCTTCAACAAATCGTCGGTCTATCATAGGTCATTTAGTTTCCATTGCAGGAGCACGACCCTCTCTACCAGAGCCAAAAGAAGGATTTGGTCTACATTCCCCTGATGCCCAGAGTGATAACAGGCTAAACCAACTACATTTATAACACCTTCATGGTCCGCGAGCCAGCACGTGTCGCAAAACACTGTCACAGTATTTAGTTTTAGCTAGAGGTCGTCTGTACAAAAGTGACTGAATATTGTCCAAAAAGAGGCAAAACTTATAAGGTATGTACTATGTATTTTATGTCAAAAACTTCAAAATACAAGAATCTCAGAGCACTAGGTGCATAGTTTGTTCAGATAGTGTGTACACAGAAAAGGGTTTTTGCTAAAGTCTTTCTCGAATTAAAAGCCCACCAGTTGGTACATGAGTCGCATTTCTGCAACGTAGGAGAAAGTTCTTAATTACCCCTAAAGGGTAGTCAACCCTTACGAACTACAAAAGGCTAATAACAACTTTTAGTTACACTTCCAACAATGAAGACACATTTTCCCATTGACATCATTTTACCCTTCCGAGTGTCAGATTAGCTAACCACCGTTTTATTTGGCAAACACCAAAACCACTTTGTACATACAACTACAACCAACCATATTTCGATGATCATAAGCCTGACATTTGTTTGAGCGAGCGCATTTTTATAGTTGTACAAGAAAGCAATTAGGAACTGACCAGATAATGTGGAGCTCCAAAATCGCGTTCAATGTTTGGGAAAGTTTAACCTGGTGAGGGTGGGAGGGGTCTTTTGGGCTGGTCGTGCACGGTTGACATATGTTCGTCTTGCAAAGCCAGGGGATTGAGTGGCATAAGCCCCTTGGTTCATTATTGGCCCTTTACCCTTTTTTGAAGGGCTCTACAATGTTTGCGAAGTACCTCATTTCAGTTAGAGGGTATTTCGTTTAGCCCAATTTGGAATATTAAAATATGTCATAGTTTTCATGATAAACAAGTGAACGGTTAAGCGAGTGCAAACCTCAAAGGGTACTTTATTAGTTATGGGTAGTTTTAGATTTTTGATGTGATTAATAATCACTGATTATGTATTCTAACAAATAAATTATTTAATTTGAATTTGAATTTGATCACTTCTATTCGCAAACCATGATAGAGAGAAATGTCTTTCTTTTTGTAATTACAGGTGTACGGTGTACATACATAGAAGAAAAACATACTATGTAACTGAATTGAGAACCGCCTCCTTTTTGAAATCGGCTAAAAAGTGTTATAGTTATAGGTGTAACACAACCTATAAAAGTGTTACAGAAAAGTTTTGCGATTAGCTCTTTTTGATTGTTTTAACAGTTTTTTTTCCAATTTTTAAAATATATCTTTTTTTTAGAGCAGTTAGCTCCAGCTGAACAACATATTTAATACTTGTACATATTTGGAGTAGGTTCACCACATTAGTCCAGCGTTTGACGAAGACCCCACCATTCTTAGCAGTCCACTTCATAACTGTCCTAATTCTAAATAAAAAACGTAACCTAAACATACCTGCACTCTAACTTCAGGCAGATTCACCTTCATCGCCAGCTCCTCCCTCGAATACACATCAGGGTAGTGGCTCTTCTCAAACGCTCGCTCCAGCTCATGCAGCTGGTACGTCGTGAAGGTCGTCCGGTTTCTTCTGTGTTTCTTCTTGTTGTCTGCAGCGGATCCTGGCCGGGGGGTGTCGTCATCACTACCGGGGGGTGACTTGTCTTCTGGGGGGGTTCTGCTGTAGCCATCGTTGCTGTTGCAGGAGCCTTCGCCTGGAAAAAAGGATGGTTTTAGCAAACATTTTTAGTACCAAATATATATTTTTTTCTTTCTTTTTTTCATTTATTTCTTTACTACTAACAATCCTGTTAACCCTTCGTGGTAAGCTTAATTCCACAGAGGTAACAACTGAAGTAACATAAATAATGTTACGAGTAGGTTCATCACAAGAGTCCAGTTTAATAATTATTAGGATTAGTTGCTAGTTTGACCAAGAGATGGCGCCGTTCTGTTTTACTTCGCGGTATTGTTTGATTTTTCAGGGCGTTTGGAAATTTATTTATTTATTTATTTAGGACAACTAACAAGACAGACACAAGTACAAGCAGAGGGGTTTACATACATAATTATTTTTCTTAGTAGGTATGTAAAATTCACATCAATGTTTAAAACAAAATTAAAAAGATATCGGAAATTGGTTTTATTTCGTAGTTTGAAAACCTCAGTCATTGGAGTGAGTGATCTAGGCTAGGACTAATACTATAATTATTTATTTGAAAACACTCAGACCAATACATCCCTTTTTGCAATTGGTCTAGCTAGATCACTATGTACTCAAATGTATTAACCATGAGCCACACTTCCAGCTACCCATTTTCGGTCATGAAGTCTCGTTCTATAGCAAAGAATTGCTATTTGATGAGAGCGAGGGAAAAAACGAAAATGGGTAGCTGGAACTATGGTCCACTGTACAAATAGACAAAAATACTAAAATTTGTATTGGAAGGTGATCAAACACATAGAAGTTCGACACTACTAAGCGATTCTATCTACGTAAGTCTGAACTTAACATTCTCAACACACAACCCCTTGTTTCAGTTCACAAGTTATCGCTGTTTACACTAATATCAGTANCGTGCGCACAAAGGAATGAGACCGCTCGGACACCGAGCCCACAGCGTGGTAGGGGTGGGGTTGCCCGCTCTTTTGTTTTTTACTACTACTGCGCTGAATATTGTGTGCGGATTGGCTTGTCGTACAGGGGTACTACACGGTAAAATAAATCTCGGAGGCGAAAGCAGGATAATAATAATAAAGATATCGGAAATTGGTTTCATTTCATAGTTTGGAAACCTAAGTCGTTGGAGTGAGTGATCTAGGCTAGGACTAATACTACACTTATTTACTTCTTTGAAAACACCAATCCAATAGAAATAGTTATACAGTACACCACGAGCCGGAAGATGTAGCGTGGGCAGGCCTCCCAGTAGGTGGACCGACGATCTGGTGAAGGTCGCGGAAGGTGCCTGGATGCGAGAGGCGCAGGATCGATCTTCGTGAAAATCCTTGAGGGAGGCCTTTGTCTAGCAGTGGACGTCTTTCGGCTGAAACGAACGAACGAACCAACGAATACAGTACACAAATGTATGTACAAACAAATCCACAAAAATGCCAATACAATACCTATATTGGACGGTGATCAAACCCATAGAAGTCCGACACTACTTGGTTAACATCAACGTAAAGTCTGAACTTAACATTCTAAACACACAACCCCTCGTTTCAGTTCACAAGTTATCGCTGTTTACACTAATATCAGTAACGTGCGCTATAAATCAACGCAATTGAGGGTAGTTAAACACTTGTATGCTAATGCAGCGTGTCTTGTCGGTAATGCAATTATATTCAAATTTAGCACGGAGTTGTGTGAAAGATATGGTCGGACTAGAGATGGACATTGGATATTTGTAATTCGTATTTCTATACGACATAGCTTTTGTGTGACTTACGCCAGTATTCACAAACATTACTATGAGGTCTCACAGTGCGCGTGGACGCACAGGGTGAAACAAGAACCAATAACAGAGCTCTATTCATCGCTGTGCTTTCGATTTGCTGCTTCACTTAAGCAAGTATTGTTTGTGAATACGGGCGTCAGATTGCGACGATCACTTATTATTGTATGTCCATCTTCATTATGTTCTGTGCCAATAAAATATTTTTTTCTTTGTACCAGCACACATTTTAGGAAAACAACACCTATTTAACTGTTTATAAATAGTCATGCCATAATTTTTTAGCTTGCTGTGCTGTCAACTGTACCTACCTATGAAATTGTGTAATAGTTGCATTATCTCCGAAGATTTATCATCACCATCATCATCTCAGCGTATGGCAATCCACTTTCAGCCTTACCAAAGGAACGCAGTGGGTGGGGTGGAGGCTACGTTTACCTATCTATAAGGTGGACCGACGACCTCATAAAGGTAGCAGGAAGGCGCTGGATGCAGGCCGCCACCAACCGGCCATTGTGGAAATCATTAGGGGAGGCCTATGTTCATCAGTGGAATGATGATGATGAAAGGAACATCCTACCTACCTACAACTTTTCGGTAAAAATCCGGCACCTCAGGAAATACAATACAAAAATAACAACACAAACAAACACTTCAATTTTATTGTTTGTACAGATCTCTACTTTCCACCACTACCCCTAATTCTACCAACATTCAAGCAATAAATTATACCATAATTCGCTCCATACATCAACCATACAATCGGATATCCTGCTATCATTCCTCGCTTTGTTTGTAAAATTAGTTTCAGTAAGCGATCTTCCGGTAGTGGTCTGTAATTTGTGGGTTGGTTATTAATTTTCACTGTACTGTACAGTAGTAAACGCAACTTCAGAAAATATCTTCCTATACTAAAAATATTTTCACCTTTTACGGGGACGAAGTCGCGATCTAAAGGTAGAAAGAAAATTCTAGAAAATGTGATGCTGAAGTCTGTATATTTGTAAAGAATATTAGTTGTATTGCCCAAATTACTATGTTAACCCCTCGTACTAAGCTAAATATGCTTGTGTTACTTGGGGGTTCAGTCTACTATTGGTAGTACTCGTATCCTATCCTATCCTATCCTATCCTATCCTATCCTATCCTATCCTATACTATACTATACTAATATAAATGCGAAAGTTTGGATGTCTGGATGTTTATTACCCTTTCACGCAAAAACTACTGGACGAATTTTGATGTAACTTTACAGTATTATTGTTTATAACCATATAGGCTATAATTTATAACGATCTGTGACAAACTAAATTTCACGCGGGTGAAGCCGCGGGCAAAAGCTAGTAGTCAAATAAAATTTCTTAAATCGACATTTTTTACTTAAATCTGTAACTGCCTTACTTAGGACCTGAACCCTCTATCTTTATTTTGAAAAGAATTGTAACCACTGAGCTACTCAGAGATAAAATTAACCTAATTCATTAAGTCCGCCTTATGTACGCCGTTCTATGTGCATATAAGTTTTAAATAAATAAATATCTGACCATCTATAACTCTCATTAGCTAGTAGCAAAGCATAAAAAATTGATAAATAAGTAAAAAATCTACACGAGACAACCCTAAAATATTTATCCAACAATATAACATTAACCAAAGACTACTTACTAGAAACATAATGATATCAAACTTATAGAAATCAAAATGTCATCTGTCATTTGGTACACCGATTAAGAAATCAGAGATTGAAGTGACAAAACGGGCCATCATTGACCACGCTTGTCATAGATTGAGCGATCAAAAGTCAAAACAGACTACTGTATCACTATCCCTTTCACTCATACGCAAATACACCAAGCAAGAAAGAGACAGCGCGTACATTAAGATCAGTCCACAGATTACAACGCGCACACAAAACAAATAAAAATATTATGGACAACGCATTAAGACGTTTTACACTTATCATGATACGATCTTGTTCGGCTTTTTTTGTAATAATTATCGATAATCTGGCAACACTCGCGAGCATTATCGTCCATAATGGGTTGTCTCGTTGTTTTTTTGATGAGGCAACCCTAATCATGTGTCAGATTTGCTGCGATCGGCTCTGAGGCAGGTCATTTTGAGGAGTAGCTCGTTTTGATGTGAGACGATAGTTTACATTATAATACAGGTGCAATATAGATACTTTACATGTAATTATTTTGATTTTTTAAAGAAAATAACACATTAGTTACTTCAGTAGTCCGTGCATCAAATGTGACTCAGATCTTTCTGTATCTTTCTTTCTTTCTTTCTTTTCAGCCAAATGACGTCCACTGCTGGACAAAGGCCTCCCCCAAGGTTTTCCACAATGAACGGTCCTGCGCTGCCCGCATCCAGGCTTTTCCCGCGACCTTTACCAGATCGTCGGTCCACCTAGTAGGAGGCCTGCCCACACTACGTCTTTTAGCCCGTGGTCGCCACTCGAGAACTTTCCTGCCCCTATTTCTGTATCTATTGCCCTATAAATAGTAGATTTTTTGCAAAGGTAAGGTCCTTATTAAACCTTTTTAAACTATTTTTAGGACAACCATCAGCTAATTTTGCATTTCTTGCAAACAATAGCACAAGGGACGTCCACCCACAAGATGGACCGACGACCTGATAAAGGTAGCAGAAAGGCGCTGGATGCAGGCCGCTACCAACCGTGTGATGTGGAAGTCATTGGGGGAGGCCTATGTTCAGCAGTGGACGTCCTTTGGCTGAAATGATGATGATGATGATGAATGGCACAAGCAAGAGATCGGTGCTATCAAATCAAAATAATGATTCGGTGGTCAAGCTAAACACCACATCATTTTATCCGACATCTCATAATGTTGATAAACTTGTACCTACATTGTATTTCTATTACCCTCTTAAAAGTTAGCTTATCATAAGTTGATGGTTTCTCAAACCTTATTAAACTCACATATGATGTTACAGCATTAGTGAGGCCTATGTCCAGCAGTAGACGTCCTATGGCTGAGATGATGATGATGATCATGATGATGATGATGATGATGGTGCCACAAAGTAGAGCTTAGCGTGCTTACAACATCAACTGAACCATCGATTAGCTATGGTGCTATTAAACTATTATAGACTACTAGCTTTTGCCCGCGGCTTCACCCGCGTGAAATTTAGTTTGTCACAGATATTCATAAATTATACCCTATATGTTATTCTGGGTTATAAACAATAATACCTACTGTAAAGTTTCATCAAAATCCGTTCGG